CTTTTTCTTATCTTTGCGTGTTTTATTGCCTTTTTTGGTCGTCCTTCCCCCCTACCGCCCCCTCTTTTGTCTCTTCGTCTTTCGCGGGGGCGGAGGGCGTAAAAAACGCGGGCGGGTCACGATCGCCAGGGGGGCGGCTGCGTGCGCGCGGCGGCAAAGCAGCAAACGAGTGAAAAAAAAAACAATGACGGCAACACACACGCACACATGTGTGCACATATATACACACATATACATCTACTCGTGAATAATTCCTCCACGCCAGAAGGCAACGCAGCCGCCCCGGCGAGGAGGAGGAGGAGGGGACGGCGGCGGCCCACAATTTGGTTGCGCGCACCGGGCACCCAACCTCCTCGCTGCAGGGGCGCGTGCACACACACACGCACGCCGCCTGCATGACTGTCTAACCCTTCCCCCCCCTCTACTGCCTCCCTCTACTGCCTCTCGGTCTTCGTATGAGTGAGCAAATAATTACGTGCAGGTATGTGCAAAGACCCCGCTCTCTCCTTCCTCACTTCTTCTCTTTGACGGTTGCGTTTTTTTTTGTCTTTATGTTTTACTTGTTTGATTTGTCGGCTTCGTCCAAACGCAAACAATTTGTGTGTGACGCTTGCGGTGAATGAGCGGGCCAAGGAGGGCGCGAGAGGAATAAAGAGCGCGCTGGTAGGGGGGCCACTGTGCCGTGCGAGCTTCACTGCTCGGCGGCGCGCGCGTCTGTGTGTGTGGTGGGGAGTATCCACGCACACCCGCGGCCATTTTTTTCGGAGGGCGTCGTATTTCTCTTTTTTTTTTCTTTTGTATTTTCACTGCGTCTACTTTTGTATGGTTTTGGTAGACACTTTTTTTTTGTTTTGTTTGTTATTATTATTCTTCTTTGATTCTGCGTGTGTGTGTGTGTGTGTGTGTGTGTTCGTGCGCCGCAGTCATCTCCCGCGCCTGCCGCTGCCCGCCCCTCCCCCCACAACTGTCCGTGCGGCTTCTCCCCCCCTCCCCCCGCCCACTCCCCGCCGTGCCGCCGTCGGCGCCTTTTGATTTTGTTTTTGCCCGCCACGCACCGGAACAAAAAAAAAGAAGATGATTTACGTGCTGCGTGTGTGTTTGGGCGGCTTCGCTTGTTTTTTTTTATCTCTCTCTTGCCCCGCGTATTCCCGGCAATACTTTCAGCTCCCCTCCGCGCGCTCTCTCTCGCCCTCCTTCTCCCTTTCTCTCTACTTCTCTCTTTAAATAACTTCCCCTCCCCCCCTCCTCCCCCGCATGCGTGCGTGTCTGCGCGCGTGTGCCCCGCACGCACCCGCCGAGGCCGGAGCCCAACGCCGCTGCGTGTGAGGGACGGCGACCGGCGAGTGGGTGGGCGGGTGGGGTGGGCGGAAGATTTAAGGCGGGAACGAAGACGATGAATGACACCTGCTGCGTAATGCAGGGAGATGCCTTTCAACGGGTTTGGTGGGTATATATATATATATTTCTTGTTGTTGTTGTTTTGCTACTCATTTTTTTTCTCTCTCCGACCCTTCTGCTTCTGCTTTGCGGGCACGCAGCATGTCTATACGTGCCTCTGCCTCGGGTTATGTGCATTGTGGTTCCCTACGTGTCTGTCTGTCTGTGTGTGTGCGTGTGTGGGCATGCCTCCCTGTCTACCTCTGCGCAGGCTGCGCTCCGCCCGCCTGCCTGCCTTTCTCTCTCTCTGTCTGTCTGTCTGTGTGTGTGTGTGTGTGACTTTGTGTGTGTGTTTTTTTCTGTGGGCCACGTGGCGGCCGCGCTGCGCGGCTGCTGGACGCGTGCCGCACATGCCTG